TGCAAATCAGGTTTGCATGGGCTGCTTCTTACAAAGAGCATTTTTCAATATAGGGACATTCGAATTTGTTATTGTACGTGTTTTTCTCTTAGGAATGTGTTCAAGCTACTCAGCAGCTCTGTCCTACTTTCTGTGACTCTGATGATGTCCGAGATCGTACATAGTCACCTTGGGGTATTCACTGCCTGCTTTGCTGCTGGATGGTCTGTGCCTCCTGGTCATGGTTTATCTTCCCTTGCTTCTAAGTTTCAGTGGGTCATGAGTTCAGGATTTTGGAAAGCAATACTCCCTGCTGATGCATCTGCAAGTTCTCTGGTTTCTCCCCGAAAAAGTTCCTCCCCCTGCATCTTAAAGGAAAGCACAGCAAGTTGAGGCTTCCGAGTACTCAAATTCCGTTCCCACACTTGCGCAGAAGCAGAGACCATGTCTGCCAAGGCTGAGGTCAAGCATGCTGTTCCTGTGAGCTACTTCGAACAGAGTTAAAAGAAACACTGAACCTTTCTTTGGAAGGCATATGAAGCATATTAGTTTCTAGCGGTTTACTGTTCAGAATTAGACTCTAAGAAGCATCTCTGACCAATACTGTCTGAAGAGAGACTGCAATTCAAGTTAAATTGAAATTATACAAGAACAATGCTTTCCATGACAATCTACAAATTGTCTCACTGATTATAAAGGTTAAAATCACAGAATCAGGCCTCCTAGTTATTTTAAGCCGCTCGTGCTATCTATTAAGGTTGCTAGACTTCCTACTATGAGGTCTTTCCCCCTCCCCCGGGAGTAACATCTAGTAGCTATCATTTAGTAGTAGACATCATTTTAACCTTTGCTATGTACTTGCTTCAGATCAGCTCTTTGGAAGTTCAGCCAAAAAAGCTTAGATTTTTTTTTTCCTCCAGTTAAAATTTCTGCAATCCTTTCCCCAAAGGCAAGTCCTTCAGTGTAAAAAACAAACCAAAAAACCACAACAAAAACCAACCAACAAAACAAAACAAAAAAACCCCACACATTTTTGTTCCTTTCCTAGGCCAGAACTTGCATCCTTGGAACAGGGCAAGACTTGGTCAGGTACCAAGTATGTGATACTTTACCCTTGTTCAGTCTTTATCAGAAAAGGCAGCTTACACCGTACCCTTCCTCTGCATAGCAGACGTGTAACGTACAGCATAAACACACTTGTCACAGCATTCCTCCTCTCTGATAGCCGGAGCTCAGAGTATCAGAGCTGCCGCTGAAGCCAGCGTGAGCAGCGCTTTGAAGACCTCTCACAAAAAGCACCCTAAAAAAGCCAGCGTCACACTGTCTTTGTAGTGAGGCTGCTACGGTCCTGCTCTTCGCAGGCACAGGATCTGCTCATAGCTACTCAACTTTAACTGATAAACTGCCTGTAGTCCCATGGAAGTTAACGGAATTTGCTCTTTTGCACAAAACATGTGCGGTGTTGTACAGGTGACTCAAAACATGATCATTTCTCACACATACTGAACTAGCACGCAAAGCACAAAAATGCGCATTCTCTAAATATTTTGTGTTCTTCCAAGTTCTGTAAATGAAAATCTTTGTAATTTTCACTTCCCACCCACTCCCCGACATGATAGATGAATACACAGAAGGGTTTACGTAGCTTTTTAGTCTGTTTAAATACAATGTTAGCATGCCGCATAAGCGTTGCTGTGGCCTTTAACACCAGGCCAGGTTGGATGGGGCTTTGAGCAACCTGGTCTGGTGGAAGGTGTCCCTGCCCATGGCAGGGGGGTTGGAACTGGGTGGTCTTTAAGGTCCCTTCCGACCCAACCATTCTGTGATTCTGTGAAGTAAATTGGAAAGATCTCTTCACATGAGAATTCAAGCAACTGTTTTGCCTTACTGTCAGTATTAGCTTCTGTGCAGCACAGAGAGAAGGTTAGGGACTTCATTTTGCCCTTCTCCAGGCACTGAAGTTAGCAGGTTCCTTGGCAACTCCAGGTGAAGATTTTCAGCACTAAGTTAATGATGCAGCAAGCAAAAAACTACAAGGAGAAATTACTCAGTCCTAAATACAAGGGCAGACACATAAGCTGCAACATCCTATGCTAGTATAGTAATACTTTTTTTCAGTGAAGACCATCATCTTACAGGTTTTCTTTTTGAATTTGAAAATTCTTGCCAGCTCAGGATCTCACTGGAAAGGAACCGAAAGTATTAAACTATTCTTTCAAAAGGATATAAACAAGAAAAAAGGATCTATTAGACAATTGGTGAAATGTGCAGTGTTTCAGGACAAGGAGGGTTTTTTCCATTTTTCCCACTTTTTCAGTAAAGGAGTCCCTTGGGAATTTGGTACAAGGGTTGGTGTCAGTAGTAAGAGGCAGCTGGATGTTTTAGCTTACCTTTTGTTGGCAGTGAAGTCCAATTTTGGAAGGAGACTTCAAGTGAAAAACAGATAAAAATCAAGGTATAAAATTCATTGTTGTAATATATGAATGAAAATTAAGCTTGTCTATATGGGCTTCTCCTCACCATGTTGGATAAGCGTTTTAAGTTATTTTTGAATGTGAAATTAGACTATCATATTCCTCACCTCTCACCAATGATCCATCTATTTTGGCTGCTCTTTCACAACCATATTTTGGGCTTACTGGTGAACTTCATTCAATTGTATGTTTTTGCTATGGGAATTAAAAACACAGACAGAGAAGCTCCTGCACTGGGATGGTTTATTGATGCTTTCAAGAGATTCAGTTTTCCTGAGGAAGCTAACGAAACAGAATTTCTACTTCCAGAATCTGTACCTGATATTTCTTCCAAAGAACAGATCCCTCTCTGCATAAGGCTCTGTTTTTCAGCTGAAGTGATTTGGTAAGCTTCAGCTTCAAGTTGTATGTAAAGATTTAACTCACTGTATTAAAGTCCATTTATTTTGGGTAAGTTTCAGTGTCTCAACCCAAAATTTGGTTCATATGACTCAGTTAATAACTCTGTCTCAAGTCCTTACTCAGCATTGACAGCATGGGTCCCAAAGACTTGACCAAAATGAATGCAATTGGTTTTGTAATTTAGGAGGAAATCACTTTTTCTAATGCCAGAGCATTTGGAAAAGAAAAAAAAAAAAAAAAAAGCCATGTAAAGAGTATAACTAGCATGGATCAATGCTATCTGCTTTGTCTTCCTTGAAAGCAGAGGAAAAGGAAAAGGAAAGCAGAGACTGAAAAGGAGTTGTTCTGATCAGAGGTTTTCATCGGGGTTTGTTACTCTTCACCATTTAAGAGCACAGCTCAGACTGTATTGGTCTTCCAGTTTTTCCACAAAAAGTCTTCTGGTTTCCTCATGTCTTTCTTCTTAATAATGTCAGACAGTCATTACAGATCAATGCCCTTTACAAATTTACCTTCGAGGGACAGACAGGGAGGTAGATCACTCACTAGAGAATACATTTGAAAGAAAGCAGACTAGACAATATGACTGCAATATTTCTCTGCAGCAGTAAGTTCTTGTACTGAAGTTAGCCCGTTAAATTTAACAGTTAAGGAAAAACAGAGTTGGTATTTACTCACACAAAATTTTATGAGAGGAACAACTGAAATGGCAGCAAGAAAAACACACTTTTTAGACAAACTGATATTACATCACATTAGTGGGCCACAGAAGTCTTTAAAAAAATAAACCTTTTGAGACATGAGAATGAAATCACATTTTAGCATGCTTTAAATAGCTGAACTGCTCTTCAAAGCATAAGTTTTCAGCTATTGGCAAAGACTATGATACCTCCTCATTTGGAAATTAAAAAGCATTTAGCAATAAGTTAAAGCTAGCCTACGTGTAAGTGGGCTAAATACTAGGCAAAGATTTTTCCCTTTTCACATTTAGGATGATACTACAGTTCATCACTTCTGTAGGTTATATGTTGTTGTACAATGCCCCACTGAAGTTTCACATCTACTCTGCGGAAGAGAACAAGAGTAAACACCTTTCTTTTAGGATGGTCACAAATGGTAAAGCCAGTAGTATTGGTTTGTCCATTTAATTCGATGTTTGCTGTTTATCACACACAAGAACTGTAAGCAGAGTCCATGGATTTTTCTGAGCAATAAGAAACCTCATGGTTCCATGCAAGTTCAATACTGCCTCTCTCTTTCTCTCTTTTTCCTTCTCCTCCTCTTACCTGCTGTTTTCCCCAGGCCAAGATACATTTCCAGCTATCTTCATCCAATTTTAAGAACCTTAAGGGAGAGAAAGTTTTACTTCATGACTTCTACCCGAGAGAACCTGGCTCCAGGCTCGTGTCGGGTCAGATGCATCTTAGACCACAGGAAGCTGGGTATATTTCTTTCGAGGCACTAGAAGTTCGGCTAATAGTAATAGCCAAGTTGCCCAAAGCTAAAGGGACAGATAGCTCTCATTGCCTTCCTATTTAAACACATGGCCAGTGAAGAAATCTTCTTTTCCCTTTTTTCCCTGAAATACATTAAGTACAACAGCTTGCAGTAACGGATTCCCCACAGAGTCTTGCATTCAGGCACCTGTAGTCCTACTGGATACTGTCCCGTTTTACTTTATATTTTCCTCAGCCTCACGAGAGAAGTTAGCAATGGATCTCTCCACATCCAGATACACACACATCCTTTTTCATCTCATAATAATTATCATGTTTATATTTCTTCTTCCACATTCCCAAGCTAAGCCAAGACAAGCTCAGTTCTATGACAATGTTTCCATGTACCTCTCTTCAGAGAGAGCTGCTGCAGCTGAACAAGACAATTGCAGCATGCTAGTTATACTTAGATTTAATATGTAATTGAAAAGAGGAGAATGACCAGTTTTCTCTTTCGTCTGTTTTCAGACATTCGGAAAATCCCACTGTCAGCCTCTTGAGTAAATAATAGATGACATCTTCAGACCCTAGTAAAACCACTTACGCGTGTTAACTTGTTTAAATAAACATCCCACCTAAAGTGACACAGTGGCCTGCAGTCTTCCTTGATCCACCCACAGAGCAAGAGTTGTTTTTACTGAGTCAGTAATCATGCATTGTCTTCCAGAGGAAATACTAGCCGGGTACCCCGGCTTGTAACTTCATGATCTGCTGCTCCCAAATCACGTTCCAGTGCTTCCTCTGAACTGCTTTTTGTTCTCCTGCCATCAAGGCTAGTGGTAGCTGTATGAGGGCCAGAAGAACCATTTGCAGTTATTGTTGTATCACCGTATGTCACAGTAAGGTCACCATCATTCAGAATAAAATCAGAATCCTCTTCTCTAAGCTGTTCTTGATTCTAGGGAAAAAAAGAAAAAAGAAGAAAGATCTGTGTACAGTGCACAACATCTGGTCTTTGCCAAGAAGGTAACTGAACAGAAGAGTTTACCTACATGCCAATACAGAAGCAGGAAGCAGTAAAGTTCCCCCTTAAGAAATGTTAAAAATATCCTCGAACCTAGTGTTTGCAGATCAGCTGGCTGCTCACTGTATAACTACTGCTATTGTGGAGAGATGATGGGGAGCTGACTCCAAGAACTAGATTATGAAAGAGGTAACTAGGGATTTAATTGCACCGTAAGTTTACCAGAAGTACAGGAGAGATGAGCAGTATACACTGGTTTTTGCATGACAATTTAGAAGGCAGTACAGGAAAAAGACTGGAGACCAAGCACAATTAAGTCACTCCAGATAAAAAAATCAGAGTTGCATCTGTTGCTAATTAGTCAAGTTCATTAGTGAAAGACTCATGCAAACTAGTAAGAACTCATTAGGCCTAAATTCTTTATATTCAAGGTTTCCTCAAGAAATTTTTTATTATAGATTGAAAACTAACCATAGTCTTTTAAACTATCTGCTTACTCCTACCCGGTATGAAAGAGAGAATTACTTGACCTGGCTCTTAGGAAAGTTCCTGAGCCATAAAAGTAGGAAAGACTGATACTAGAAAGTGCTTGGTTCATAGCTTTGTAACCAGTTCTGATAAGTTTTCTTTTCAAAATCATTTAAGAAAGTGCCTCGTGAAACCTGTGAATTTATTTTGGCAGAGATGGGATGAAATATGTAGTCAGAGACTAGAAATTGCTGAAATGTAATAAAACAATTTCTCTACACAGCATAACACAACAGCAAGCAATTGTACCATGTTTCACTCCTGTTTAATATGGTCTTGGTAAAAGGCAACACAGCTGAACTGGTCAGAAAATGGGGCTTCCTCATATTTGAAGATAATTTTATCAGTGCAATAAACTTGTTTTCTTGCAACTGAAAGCAATTATTTCCCCATGTGAATAGCTCCATACCGCTTAGCAAGAGGTGAAACGTTAAGTGTGTGTATTGCTGTTCTCCTTGGTAGGCTGGACACCAATCAGGCTACATTCTCAAAACACACCATTTTCTTCCACTTCGGCAAAGGAAAGGGGGCACAGGCTATGTGACGTGGGATGCCTGTGATCAGCCTGACCAGAAAGTCCTACCTGTATTGCAGAACAGGAGTTCAGGGCACTTGAGACTGACAATGCCAATTAACCTGTCTGCAATGAACAATGCAGTGCCTGGCTAAGTAAAACTTCCTGGGAAAACTTCCTGACATTATTTCAGAATGATAATCGGCCAAAAGAAAGCAGCAGAAGCCTCTAGATGATACAGAATATTTAACTAATGAAGACTGGAAGAGGTGTCAGGGGTTTACCAAAACTGATGAAAGAAATGGTGCAGTTCAGTGTCAGGTGCAAGACAAGCCCTACTTAGAATGAATACTAATTTCTCAGAACCTTCATGGCATCCAAATTTATCTTCGTTTATTAGAGACAGGGTTACTGTGACAGAGAGCACAGTTCTCAAAGAGCAAATACAGTTTAGGACACTTGCTTTCTTTGATTGCAAAGAAAACACTGAACTACTGTCAGTATCTTAAAAAGAAAAAAGGCAGAAATTAAAAGATTCACCTGTAGTTGGCAGAAACAGCCTTTACAAGCTTTCCATTGCAAAAAAGTGAAAGTCTGAGGGACAAGACCAAGATGATAAAAAAGATACACAAAGTAATTGGCTGTTTAAGAAAATCTGATATCCCTCTATATTCTGTTTCTGAAGGAGAGACATTCAAATAAAGACGAAAATCAGAAAAAGGAGTAAGAAGCAGGAAGTTTGTGACTGTTGACTGGTTATGTTTTAAGAAGCTGAAGAAGCAGAGAAGCTCTATCACAAGTTGCCTTTCATGGTGTTTGCCCTTGGAGAAGCACCAAGGCGGGGAAGGCAGGGCTAACAGCACACCAGGAGGTATCGCCATACCAGGGCCACATCTACCAAGCTCCCAAAGCCTCTCCTGTCTCCATGATGCTATTTAACAGCGAAGCCTTGCAGCCACCTATCAGATAAGAAACTGGTAAGAACACATACTACAGTTGAGCTTCCCTAAAAGGCTGAAAAGCTCTTGGAAGCACAATTTTGAAAGGAGAGGACCACAAGCTTTACACTATATGGCAAGCCTGAACTCAATCTTTGCTGATTTGTCCCAGGCTATACTTACATGTATGTAAACATGATCGGTTCCAGAGAAAACACCGAGTGTTCTCAACACAGTGAACAAACATTGCCTTGTGCAAGCCAAGTTTCACTTATTTATTTCACTTCTGAATAGCACTGCAAGCCGCAGGCAATTTATTTCACATATTTCCCCAGAGAACATCCATGAACAGTCCCATGTAGTATACAGATTTGCTATGTTTGCGAGCAAAGAGGATGGGTGAATAAACGTACTGTGCTTCATGCAGCATGAACAATTCTTTCAATACAGACAGGAAATGTATCCAAGTAGATCCCTAGAGACTTGAAATTCTTCCAAGAATAACCCTAAACTGGCCTCTGCAATCCCCTACAGTTCTGCAGGAATAGCTTCAATTCACGCAAAAAACATAGGTCCTAGCTTCACTACTTAAGCTGACAAACTAGAATGGCTAAGTACCTAAATCCAAAATCCTTCAAAACACTGTATCTTGCTTTGATGTGCTGACCATAACCCTGAGGAACCTCACAGCATTCTGTCCCATTTGTGGTAAAATCTGTTTATGCTCCTCAGAACGCGTGCTGGAGATGTTAAAATGGCTAAAGCTTATTTAGAGTTACTGCTTACAAAGCCAGTCTTTATTGCCTCCTAAGGCAATGCAAAAAGAAGCACATGCAAAGTACGCTGCACATACAAAGTCATCACGTACGCTGCTGGTGCCGAATACAACACAGGCATCACGGATGACAAAAACTGCCTCAGAAGTTGCTTATCTTGTGGTTCTAAAATAAAAGCATCAAGTAGTATGCATGCAAAATATATTACAACTTAAATCTGATGCTCCGCTTAGAGTTTCTATGTTTCTCAGCTGAGTTCAAATTCATCAAGGAAGCTAAACAATTTTTGCTAGGAAGCTAGAACCACTGAGAAAGGGGAGGGGGAGGCACAGCTGAACAGTTTTCTTACCAATTTTGAGAGTTACCTCCTCCAAGACCTATATAGATTGCAAATGATGTTTCTTTACTGGGTTGACATATTTAGAAAAATAACTCAATTCCCTCTACTTTCATACCAAGTTGTCAGACTGTGTATGGTACAAGAACTAACCTTTCAAAAAAATCAGTGGAAGACTGTGGAGGACACAAAACACACCCCTGGGCAAACAAGCACACACACACAAAAAAATCCCCAGGAGTGCTTCATCAGGAAGAGCAGGTGATAACACAGATGCTTCTTCCAAATGGGATAAATGGTTGATGAAATGGAGAATTATTAAAAGTTTCAAAGGACATGTGAAAAGGGAAGAAAAAAGTGACCTACATTAGTTTGGGATAAATTGGAAATCCCTGCCAAATGGTCATGCACTGAAGATACCACCAGAAGAGAAAAAATAAGAGTGATTTTTTGAAAGCGATCGTTTTAAACGCTAACTACAGAAATCTTTCAGGCTTTTAAGTTTTAACTTGGATTCTGTTTCAGTGGGAAGCACTTAATGGCGAGCCTGTTGGCACAGTCTTAAAGCAGTGGGAGAACATTAGCAAGGAATGGTAATGACAGCTCTGGAAAAAATCCAGCGTATCTCACCCCTGCATGCTGACTCAGAACCTTACATGTATGCCATGCGAATTCAAGCTTAGAGGATGCCATCTCATACTTAGGAATAGGTTGTGCGTAAAGTATGTAATAAGATTATTTGACTCTCAGACTTTAAAACCCCTCTTTGGCATCTAAATAAAAAGATGTACTCCCACTCACGCAAGTGAAAATGAATTCTAAATAAGGTTGTAATAAAAAGCCAGAGGGGAAAAAACCAAAACACACAATGAAAGCTGAAAACAATACACAAATGCACAGTCAGTATAGCCACATACTTGTATGCTTTCTTCTCTTTCTTCTTTATGTAGATGTCATAACTGCTCAGACATGCACCTGAATGAGATCTAGGAATTATTACTACTTTTTGGAAAAGATTTTCCAGCTATGCTACATTCTGTTGAATATTTACAGACTTTTTTTCTTGTTTAATTCAACGTCTTCAGTCTTTAATTCTCTTAGATGTATCATTCAGTTTTCCTGGGAATACCTCACAAAAGCACAACTCTTCCAAGCAGTTTCTGTCTCCCCAAAGAGATGACTCCCTCAGTTGCTTCACCTGCACTTAATAGGAAGGTGAAAAGATTCCACAGCTTTTTAGCCCATAATAAAATGGTGTAGTCAAGTGCTGTAGCAAAGTCAGCCAGGCAAAGAAACAAAAAGCAATACAGCAAATACAGGCTTCAAAAATCTCCAAAAGAAACTAGAAATAAAATCTCAAAATCATGTTCTTTCCGAAGACTAATGCAGCAATGCACTGAAATAGGGACAAGAAGAGAGAATACAATGTGAAATTTCCACATTATACACCTCAACAAAGTATGCAGCCTTATAAGCATGTTTTAATGATGAAGTTAACACCCCAAGAGTGTGTGTGTTTGTGTCACAGAACCAATCTGATTAAAGAATAAATTTCCACATGCAGTAGCAGTTAAGAATGAAGACTAAGAGAAAAAAGAGCCCAACTGGTAGAGAAAATGAAAGCCAAAGCTTGCATGTTAATTCTGGTTAGCTCCTCAGTTACTGGCTAACTAATCTTACATGATCATACACAGACACATGGGCAACACAGAAGTAGGCTAATTGGTCTGAAGGATGCCTTCCAGCCTAGATCTGTTTTAAGATCTCCAGTGGCATTGCAAAGATGGGAACAAGGCCAATTTCATGCATTACTAATAGCTCCAAATAGGCAGCAGACATCTCAAATTTCTTTGAAATGTTACGATTAGGTAAAAGATAGATGCTAATGATACCAGAAGGAAATGCAGGGAAGTATTTCAAAATTGCAAGTGGAATTTGTAACTCTCTAGGAAAAGATTACTAGAAAGCTGGTCCAAAACTACTTGAACACAGCAGAGATGTTACCATTCCAGAGAACCTGCAAATTTGAGGGATCCGGTATAGTACTATGGTTTTATTTACAAGCAGCTCAAAAAGTTGTAGATTTCAGAAGCACTGTACAGACAGGAATGACATGTATCAAGATCCTGGAAGAGTAATAGGAGAATGAAGCATTAATTATTGCAAGACATGGCTGTAAAGACAGTATAGTGACCTGCTAGACTGAGGTAAGTAACTGTTTAACAGTTTCTGAAATGTGATCTCAAATTTCAGTGGAAACAATGAAGGGAAAGCTCTACCAGATTTCTTTCCAGCATGGGTGAATGTGTCAGTGTCTTATGTGAAGGAGACCTCAACACAACTTTAGCAGTAACAGGAAAAGAATCTTGTCCAAAAGTGTTGAGAACGGACTGAATATTTTTAAGTGATTCACTGAACTGGTTTATTGACTAGGCCTATAATTTTCCAATATCCTTAAATGTTCTTTTTTAAATGTAGTATTTGTACAATAAGATCATCTCTGATTTCTACTAACGGAAGCTGTTGCCTCAAGGGAGCGTATCTTAAATCCTAGGACAAACCAGCACTTTGTTGCAGTATGTATATCATACCAACCTTTTGCCTAAAAGGAAAAAAAAAAACCAACCTGCTTTGCTGAAGTTAAATAAAAAACCAAAACACAGAAGTATGGAGTCATTCTACTTACTTCATAAACCTGGGGACTTGTCAGACAGCGAGCTACCAGGCCACACCAGCTGGGCAGAGTTGTGGTTAACGGAGGGCCACTGTGAGTGAGAATTGGCTTTAAATAACTTAATAGTTAAGGAAAACACATCAGTGCTCAAAAACCACTGTTGAAAATAAAAAGACAGTTGTAGATGAATGTGGTTCTGCCTTTGATGTATGTACTGCTCAATAATTATATAAACAACATCCATTAAAAAAAATCTGCATTTGTAAACAAATAAATGAAAAACATCTTCCTCCCAACATTTTCCCCTTGATCCTTTCAAGAGTAGTTTCTTTGCTGACACATTTTCTGCAAGAGCACCTAGCTCACTCTCTTTTTTAGAGTTTCAAACAGCTGCAAAGTTTCCAGGTTTTGGGGTCTCTGGAGCCAAAAAGACCAAGCAGAGGTACAAGTGCTCTAGTCTTAATAGGTCCAAGGATATTTCTGGTCTGAAGATGGGAGCATGGTGTCGAGTTTGCAAGCTAGAAGTAGCAAGGTGACAAAGCTATGTGACTTAACACAGGTAAATAAAGAAATACTGTCCATCCAACATCCTCAAAGCAATGCAGCCACTCAAACTGCTAGCTGGTCACTGAGCCACAGAGACGCAACCAGAGATCTTACTCTGGTAAGGCTCAATGACATCTCTGCAGAGCACATACACCTATCACACAGAGCCTCAGAAAGGCAAAGGGAAACCTGTACGGCAAGAACCACGTAATACAGCATGGAAGGAAAGCAATGCTGCCTAGGTTACATTGAGAGGGCATGGAAGTCGGAAAGGAAAGTGTCTTTACACCTCCTTTCATAGGTCTGCTGTCAGGTAAATCCCTGTTTGTGCACACTAGTACTCCAGACTGATGATATGTGAGGGAATGCTCAGGAGTCAAAAAAGGTGTCCCTGCTACAGAGCAGCATGCTGATTTTGACTGGCACAAGAACAGAGCTCCGGAGGAGAGTTCCAAGACTTCCAAACATTGGCTGAAATCAGGACCACAGGAATTTTTTTTATTTTTTTTTTTAGCCAGTCTGATTATTTTAAATATAAATATATATTGCAGGTATTCTAGTTACTTTCTTAGGCCTCTAAGCACAGAGAGAATCAAGTCCATTTGTGAATGTAACAATTTCCTTGATCAAGGTGCTTAGGCAAAAGAGGAGGTTAAAAAAGGGGCTGTTTTAGCAGAGATGTATCCCTCCCATTTAGCAGAGCCTGGCATAGCATGTTTACTTGAGCATATAACGTCATGATTATGGCACTGCAGAGTTCTGTTTCCTCCTTCCCTCCTCCAGTAACAGTGTGGCTACACCCAGTCCTGGAAAGAAAGAAACTCTTTGCCCTTACCCTAACCCACCAGACTCCACGTTGCCCTGCGGCAGACAGGCACACAGCAGCTCGGTCATAGTAAAACAAACTCAGTAAAAGACATCTGGTACTTCAAAGTTGCAGTTTTCTTCGTGTTTAACAATTGTGGGTGAACCCAGGGAACAGCCCATGACTTTAAATGAACTCTGCGTTCCACAGGAATGAAGTTCCTGGTTATCCATCCACGCAGAGCTCTGCAGGCAATAGCCAGCTTTGGAGCACAGTGCCAAGTGTATCGTGCTTGCATCTTTTTCAAGTTCTGTTCTCTTGCAGAGAGTGAATTTTGAGACAGTCCGCCTTTCTACCCACAAGCCAAGTGAATGCATCAGCAAAAAATATTTTGACATTTAGCCATAGGTATAGAGGTGGAAATTCTAAAGATTCCATGCAATTTAAGCCCACCCAGCCGATGTTTATCTGAATGCCTCCTTGCAAAAGAAGGAGCAGAGTTTTACCTCTAAGATACAGTAAGACAGTTCTGCCTCTGGATGCATTTCCTTGGCACAAACCTCACAGAAATCTTCCCCAAAGATTGCTAGTCACCACTGAAAAAGCAAATGAACCATCAGCATCCTTTAAGTTTCTGTGAAACAGCTAATTAAGCTGTAATTTTCACCTAGCACTCCCCAGCCCTTGCTGTGGCTGCTGGGGACGGCACTTATGTTAGCGTCAGCCAAGAGGAGTCAGCATTGCCAACTACTCCTTTTTTCATCGGGCACATCCCTTTTGTAAAGGCAGGGGAAGGGGATAGCTCGGCTTCCTTCTTAAAAAGGACAAAAAAGAAGCACTCAGCTACAGCCAGATCCTTCCATGCTCTTACCACAGAAGTCTGTCTTTTTTTTTTTTTTAAATAACAAAAATTGACCTCAATACACTTTAACACCAGCCACTATAACTCAAAGGGTTACCTTGAAATTACTAACATTTATGAATATTTAAACTAGCACACACACTCCCTCCTGGGCTTTGGCCCAATACTACTACATCTGAAAGCATCAGTCACAAACAGATTTTATCCTGAACAGGCAAGTGCTATGAGGATCTGAATGCTTTCAACACTATACCTGGGTTTCCCCGGGTGGGAAATCTTGACACACAAGGAAACTACTGTACTCCTACCAGGCCAGCAATCTCTCATCAACCAATGGCCAAGACCTCAGTGAAGACTCATTTCTCAGATGCAAACTGCAACAAGATTAAGGCCCAGTCACAGGTATTTACATATATTTAACTGCCCCCTAAATTACAAGGAATCAAGAACTGAAACTTCTTTGAATTTCTGGGTATAAGTGACTTGCCAGAGCCACAAGATTCTCTTTGCCATTTTCCACTGAGTGCAAGCTGTTAAGGAGGGGCACCTGTATGATATACTGATTAAGAAAATGCCAAGTAGATTAAGGAAAAACAAGGATGAAAGACAGGACAGCTACACAAAAATTGCTCAGAAGCTTAAACAAGGCTGTCTAAATAGTATAAAAGTAGCTTCAGAAAGGTTGCACAGTACTATATACACACAAGGACACTCGCTGCTTTAACACCTATAGAGAGTTCTGGATATACTGAAGGGAATAAGCTGGATCACATGTAGATTTTTAGTTCCAGAATTTCCTGTATCAGCAGTGGGTTTCCAAAGAGGATTTCATCACAAAAGCAGATGGCTCTTCAGAGCAATGAGTTGGGGCTTAGACATCTGCAATGACCTGGAAAAGTCGTTTGTGCTATGAGCATCAATGAAGGTGAGAACAGATTAATGGAACAAATCAGAGGATCTGAAATAGTTCCTTGGCTGTCTTATTGTTTAGGAAGGAACTTCAGCTCCTAGAACTTACTGGCTTCTGTCCTCCAGCAAGTGTGACATACCATGCATTAGAGAAAGGAAAGGTCCGTCTTCTGAGTCAGCAAGTTCAAGCTTCAGTTCTGTGCCTGGAACCTGTCAAATACTTGATCTTTCTCCTATTTGACTCTCCCAAGTGCTTAAGGCTACATATGGGTACACGGAAAGGAAAAAAGTTGAACATTTCATTCCTTGAAGTTAAGCTGTGTTTTCAAAAGGATACTTATGGTCAAAGCTATACCATAGCCTGAAGAGCCAAGCACTTTCCTGCTCTGTCCTGTTCCTTCTTTCAGAATCTGGACCATCCTAAAAATAAAATAAAATATTCAATTATTTCAGGCAGAAAAAAAAATCATACATTCCAATAATTCATGTTATAATGTCCTGTCCAAAAAAGACAAATTACTTCAATACTGTACTTGAATTGCAGAAGAAAGCTATTTAGAGACATGCTTATACTGAGAAGGTTACTTTCCCTAGAAAGCCCAGAAATGACTGCAGAGTAGGCCCTCTTCATTGCCCTCGAGTTACCTTAATGAGCCCTCTACCACCAAGTTCCCTTGAGTCTAAAAGCTTATCACACACTTAATGCAGTAATGGGTATAGAAATAAGTCCAAAACTGACAAATAAGCCTCATTGATGTCTCAACCCCATTCCCCTCCCCAAATAAATGAACTGGAATAATCCAGACTGATCCCTATTTGTTGCTTGGCTGGCTTCCTTAATTCTAGGTCTATTTGATGCTCTTTCCTTAAGCATATTGTTTCCTTGAAAGAAAAAGGGAATTTACCATACCTGATAAACTCATAAACCTGATGAAATATATCACACTTAAAAGAAACATGCTTAACAGGGAATCCATATTAAAAAAATCACAATTTGGGCAGGTCATGCAAATTTCATAAGTGCTAGATCAACCTCAGAAGTGCTAACAGTGTTAAATATAATCCTTTTACTAGCTGTGCTGCAAGTCATCACACCAGCTGTTCTGCAGCTGCATTTGTTTTTACTTTTGTTACTGTTTTGGTTTTTTGGGGTTGGTTGGGATTTTTTCTGGCCAGAGGCCAAAAGCTAAACACAGGAAAACAGATGAAGTGAGAATGCCTTGTATGAATCATCTTCCAAACTACTGGAGAAGAACAAGACAGGATTGCCCTGTGTACTTCTGATCTGCAAAGAAAATCCACAATCCACCAAGAGTTAAAGCTTAGTACATTTTCACTCCTTCCTCATCCCAAATGATATATTTTCTTTAAATGTGACATGTTGCTAATCTTGGCTTGGTGAAAGAAAGAAGAACCCAAAGGGAACTGACTGTTAGACTCCATTAGGAATGCAGCGCACAGCTAAAGAGGGAAACAACTGGGTAAGTGCTTTATGCTTGG